CGTTTCAGAAAAGAAGACCGCCCTAGTTTCCGTTATTGCTTCGTCAAACACTGGACTGTCCGATGATTTTGATTGAACCATATGGTGAGTTTCTACTCAGAGGCAACTTAAACCGTAGTGCCTTCTTTTTCTGCAGTTTCATCACCTAAATGTGTATCGTATCCCCGAGATGGAAATATTTTTTTAACGAGATGTGGTTTGTTTGTCCACGCATTTTGTGATCCATAAAATCAGAGCAATAAGTAAAAATATTTTTATTTTATTTTTATTTTTTATTTTTTGTTTTACGCGTGTGTGCACTGATAGTTATAATTAAGCTATATTTGGAATTGAGAGCTGAATTCATGATAACACATTTAGAAAACAGTGATTTCTTTCACTTTATTGTTTTGAATTGTTGCATTACTACAACTTATGTACTTTACTTTCTATTGAGTGAATATCTCGCAAAGAACGTGCTTCCCTCCCCCCAACCCCTGTGGAGGAAGCGAGAGAATTCCGTGATATGAAACCGACTAGTTAAGGTTTAAACCTCATTGTTCATGCATTTGGGAGCGTGCATGTTGCCACTACGCTAATCACCCCGAACTCGAGTAAAACATAATCAGTGAGATATGTTTGTTTATAGATTTTTTCAGTGGCATTGAACGGGTAGATACTGGGTTCAGTTTATTTCTAGAATAGCCATACAGAATCGCAATCATAAAACGACCACTCACGTACTGATCTTTAGTTACCATGAGCCTGTCTGTTATAGCATGTATATCTTTGGACACCACTCTATAAAGCAATTTTCTTTGGCCAATGTGAGCGTTGTTCCATGAATCAATAACGCATTTGGCCTCCTCTCCTCGTTTAACCCACTGAATTCCTCACTTCGGTATCACATCCTGCTTGCATAACCGATGAGTCTTCGCCTATGGGGGGATCATAAATTCATAAAGATGGCTCGCACTCGATTTTTCTCCACTCCTCATCAGTGCGCGTGATTGTTACTGCGTGACTAGTTGTGTTCTCTCTCTCTCACACACACACAAGCTTCTGTTCAATGATTTCTTTTCCTCTTCCATTTCTTCTCTGTCAAACCGCGAAGTGCATTTCGTACCTTCACTCATAAACAGTGTTTTGTTCATTCTCTTACACTTCGGCAACCAGTTGCTTGACTTATTGTTCGTCTCTACATTTCCACACACATACACACATATACACACACACACACACGCTCACAGAGTCCGAGTTGCAGCATAGAGCTGTGCTGTGCATCATTTTCAAATCTGCATCACCAGCC